GACCGCAAAAACGAGCGTGACCGTTTTCGCGATTTCGCGAACTGTGCTCTCTGCCACCGCGAGAAATCGCCTCGCCTCCTCCGTCTCGATTCTAACAAGAAGCCATTGCTTTGCCACCGCGAACGGCAGCTTTTTTCATTTTTTTTTTTTTTTCTCCAAACGCTCTCGTGGATCAAAGCGCAGAGCGATCTATAACGACCGCCCAGCGAAGGAAATTGAGCGAGGTTTTTGCTCTTGTTTGAAAGATGTTTCTCTCGTTAAAAGGTTGTTAAATTAACCCCTAAGCGGCGTCATCGGTGATTAAAGCCGCGACATCGCGGTTAGACGAAAAAAGACAATTCGAGGGTTAATGAAGTATTTTCCAACGTGGACAATTCGGCGATTAATGAAACGTTTTCCAACGTTTTTCATATGTATGTGGATGCGATCGTGCAGGAGTTCGGTTAATGGTTCGCGAGTGTAGAGAAGCTCGGAGTTTGAGAACCCCTCGAAGACGTTTTTGTCCTTCTTACCGGTGAGCTCCCCAGGCGTAGACCAAGGGGCTGGGAGGCCAAGGGGTGACCCGTTTTGCCTCACCTGAATGCAGGGGCTGGGTTTTTGGTCGTAGTGCACAAAGGTGCGCCCCAAGGATCCCTTGACTTCGGCTACCCGGATGAGCAACATCTGCGCCAGTCAACGTCGAGATTTTGCCGCGAAATCTTGCCGCTCTCTGCCGAGCGGCTCGCGCCCTACGTCGAACCGACCGTGCTGGTACCTCAGAAATTCAAATCTTTGTTCAATTCCTCTTACGTGTTTCTCACTTCTCTTCCTTCTTCGCTCGTCGGTCACTAAGCACAAACCGTGACATTTCCAATAAAAGAACGTTAAGATAGAGTTTGAAGTTGAGGAATTTGAATGAATTTCTCGGTAAACTCGTGAATTACTCGAAGCGAGAACTGTGCAAGCATTGAAACGCAACGAACGCAGATGAAACTTTCCAAACGATGTACGACACCTTGAAACACGGAGGTGACACGAAGAAAATTACGATGCGAGGTAGAAGACGTTTCCGGCGAGCGTCCGAATCGAAGTGAAAGAGAGGAAGTCGATGCGAATAGAGTAATTGCGAGCAATAATTTATCGGCAAACAGACACTGGTAAATAAGAGACCTGGTGGCCAAATAAAGGAACGTCAAAGGCAAGAGGCAACCGAGCTTCGAGGGTCGACGGCCGCGCGATCGACGAAAAGCGACGACGAGCCGCCGCTGCTGAAAATATCGTCGCCGTTTTCATCGCGCCTTGGCAGTGCGTTCGTCGAAACAAAACCAGCGAGATCTACGTTCCACGTTCTGTGATTCGAACAATTTTTCAAGTGACAATTGACACACATACACACACACTGTGTTCTGGATTTTGAAACTTACGATCGTAGATCAGAGTTTCTTGTAAATTCGAGACTAGCGAGATCTACGTTCTGTGATTCGAACAACTTTTCAAGTGACAACTGACACACATACACACACTGTGTTCTGAATCGTAGATCAAAGTTTCTTGTAAATTCGAGACCAGCGAGATCTATGTTCTGTGATTCGAACAATTTTTCAAGTGACAACTGACACATACACACACACTGTGTTCTGGATTTTTAAACTTACGATCGTAGATCAAAGTTTCTTGTAAATTTGAGACCAGCGAGATTTACGTTCCACGTTCTGTGATTCGAACAATTTTTCAAGTGACAATTGACACACATACACACACTGTATTTTGGAGTTTGAAACTTACGATCGTAGATTAGAGTTTCTTGTAAATTCGAGACTAGCGAGATCTACGTTCTGTGATTCGAACAACTTTTCAAGTGACAACTGACACACATACACACACTGTGTTCTGAATCGTAGATCAAAGTTTCTTGTAAATTCGAGACCAGCGAGATCTATGTTCTACGTTTTGTGATTCGAACAATTTTTCAAGTGACAACTGACACATACACACACACTGTGTTCTGGATTTTGAAACTTACGATCGTAGATCAAAGTTTCTTGTAAATTTGAGACCAGCGTGATCTACGTTCCACGTTCTGTGATTGGAACAATTTTTCAAGTGACAACTGACACATACACACACACACACACTGTGTTCTGGATTTTGAAACTTACGATCGTAGATCAAAGTTTCTTGTAAATTTGAGACCAGCGAGATCTACGTTCCACGTTCTGTGATTCAAACAATTTTTCAAGTGACAACTGACACATACACACACACTGTGTTCTGGATTTTGAAACTTACGATCGTAGATCAAAGTTTCTTGTAAATTCTGGAGAATTCTGAAGAAATTTTAGTATATTCATGGACTTTATTGTTGGACGAAATATCAACACGATGACACGAGCATTGAAGAATTGTGGACAAATTTGTGACCGACGATTCATATAAGCGCAGAACTTGATAAATTTAAAACGATGCTGGGCAATTAAGTCGCGAGAGATTACAAATCACGAGGGAGTGAAATAAACGACGCTGCCCGTGAGATTATCGCCTGTAAATTATAAATTAATGAATTTAAACCGACGTACATTGGCCAATTTTTTCGTCCGATCTCGAATGTTAAATCGATCTGCTGGATAACACCGGTGTCAAATTGCCTCACGGCCACTGGTCATCAATTTCCCCGTGAATCGAATACTACGCGCGGTTCTCTTCTGACACGTTGCAAAATCCAAGGATTACCAGGGCAACTCCTTTTTCGAACGAAGCGCAGACTTCTTCAACCAGCTATACCAGTTCTCGCCCGGAGACCAGTTTTGTAAAATCGAAAAGAAAAAAAAAAGAAAATACACTTGTCACCAAGGATTATCGATCAGTTGCAAAGTAACAACGAGTTGGTCGATCGAATTTATCGAGCTTGTTTAAAAATCAAAGGACCAATCGTCTTCGAAATTGTTATCGATAAAAATTGCCTGGCAGCTGGGTATAAATCGCTGCTCGTGATCGTTTAAAGAGCCTGTCGATTTAAATCCCTCGGCCGTGAGACGAGGCGGTGGCTCCAGAGGAAACCTGGCCATCGGTTTTTTGGGGGCCGCTGGAATCCTTGGCTCGTGCTTCCGTGTGTGAATAGAAATCCCTGGGAAGGAGGGAAGCCATTGTGTCAAAACTCGAACGTTTCGCCTCGATGGCTGCTCGAGGGAACACGGGAACACGGGAATCGCGAAGGGACGACGCTGGTCGAGTTCAAGGAGCCGAACACCATTCCAGTGTCGAGAGACTACGAATTGAACGTGAAACGTTCGGTTAATATCGAGGCGAAAAACATTTGGAACTTTGAGCGACGAACTTCAGACGTTCGCGGATTTTTCTCTGTTTTTTTTTTCGCATGGTCTTTGTTGCGAATAGTTCAACTAGTTCGGAACTCGTCTCAATGTTGTATCTCTTTGGAGTTTGGATGATTGTTTATGAAAACATGAACATATTGATCGCTTTAAAATATATCGTTTGACTTGAAACTGATATATTTTTTTTTTTTTAAGAAATTTGGAGTGACAATGATCTTTGAAAGGATAATCAACGAAAACTCACGAACACATATTGATTGTTCAAAAGTTCGTTGTTGATTTTTAAAGAGGGATTTTGCTTCCTCCACGAAAATATGTTGCACAAACATCGATTGAGAACTATGCTGAGTGTATCTGTTAAAGAATGATGCTTCGAAGATTTTTGATCAACCCTCAACATCTCAACATACTCTATCAAAATCACTAGTTGAACGACAAACTAATATAACGGCCAAGTGAATGTACCATTGAGCGAATCGAGCAATTATTTGCTGGTGTAAATTAATTGGAAAAGTAACGACAAACCAAGTAACGCGTAACAACAAATCCAGTAATCCAAATAAAACACATCGTCTCACAGGTCAGTGACTTGCTTAAATTACCGAACACCGGATCGCGCAACAATCTGTCAACAATTTGCGGGATCGATTGAAAGAAAGAGAGGGAAATGTAGTGGGAGATGTTGCCACTGGCGGAGGATCGTCACTCACAATCAGAGTTCTCTCGGTCTGTATCGTCTCGTGTTTTCCCAACCGCGAAACCGGTGACGCACTCCGTCGATTGTGCCGCGTGCCAACATTGGCCGAGCTTATCAGCCTCGCACGTGTACGACAAACGCCTCTTTCGTCGCGTCTTTCCCGATGCACGTTCCAGCAGTGGAAAAATATATACTTCACGGATGGTAGCGCGCGTTTGAATCTGGTGGAGAGAAACGGTGCGAGTTCACCGCGAAATTTAGATCGGACAAAGTGAACCTTACGAGTTCAATTATTTGGTAATTTTGGTGCGAACAAGGTGGCGAACGAGCAAGAAAATCTCGACGAAAAGTGTTAAACAATATATACGGGATATATTTTAGGAGCAATTTGGTAGTTTTAATGTGAACAAGAAGGTGAACAAACATTGGATTGGATGAAGTGAACTTTATGAAGCAATTTGGTAATTTTGGTGCGAAAAAAGGGGAAAAAATTTTCGGAAGAAGCTTGTTAAATGATATGGAATAGATGAAATTGCAAGAAAATGTTCATCGACAGTGTGGAAAAATTGTGACAACAGTTCCAGTGTGTCTTTAAAAATATTCAGCGATATTGTTCGAAGAACGAGCAACGAAATTCGCCCCCGCAAATTTCGCAAGTTGAAAGTGCAAGCTAAAGCTGTTAAAAAAGGGAAAAAAAGAAGAAGACAATTAAAACAGCCAGCAAGAACAAAGTGAAATCGCCGCGTCGCCCCCGATTTCCAACGATAACAAAAACGAACGCCGCGAGGTGAACTAATTAATCAGGGCCAGAGGTAGAAATAAAACCGTAAGAAGTGAAGAACTCGGAACGATCGTATCTCATCGGCCGCGAGAGACGAGAAATCACGATCCCTTTTGGGAGGGGGAGGGAAGTAATGAAGGAGAAGAAGGTAATGGAGCAAAAAATCGGAGGGAAAATGGAGCAATAAGAAAAAGAATAGCGCGGAAAGTCGACGATTAAAAAGCCTCGCGGATGAAACCGGCGAGTCACCATCGATAAACATCCAATTTGCAAGAAAATAGGCTTGCAAACGAAAGAACAGTGGTGTCTGTGGCATCTCGCAAGAGAGAGAGAGAGAGAGAAATTAGTCTAGAAATCGTGACTAATAAATACAGAACAAGAAGAAGAAGGTTCGTATCGATCATCTTCCCGTTCGCTGGATTTCCTTATTGACATATATCCGAATAATATTATGTGGTGAGTCAGCCGCGTAATAACTGGTTTATGACAGCCATGTTTACGCGCGAGGTCAGTTTATCAGGAAGTCAGCGATCAGCGCGGATTGACGCGAATCGATAGGATCGATTCTCGTCGGCGAGGTGAGTTTCCAAACAGTCGAAAAAGAACAAACATTTCAAACGGAGAAATCGTGTTCGTCGAAACTTGATGGAACGAGAGTGAAAAAAAAAAAAGAAAGAAAACGAAAGAAAGAGAGAAGAAATGAGTTTGGCGGAAATGCGTATCCTCGATTTCGTGTCCTAAATATCCTCTAAGGGTGACCGATCGAAGAGGGCATAGAACGACGTAGGGTGGAATTCTTTTCCTCCGTTGGAATTCGTGGACCGGGAACATCTGCTGTTGTTTCTCACGCGGCACGATTCGCATGACCAGGAGAAAAATGTGCGTGAAACCGATGGAGGAGAACGAGGAGGACAAGGTTGTCAGCATGATCATCAACTACTTCACTGCTAGGGTAAATATGCGTGGCAGGCTGAACGTGGAGGCAGTGACATTTCTCTCTCTCTCTCTCTCTCTCTCTCTCTCTCTCTCTCTCTCTCTCTCTCTCTCTTGATCTAGGTATGTTTGTAGAAAAATCTGAGTGATATGTTCGCTGTAATACCGAGGAAAGGGAAGCGGTATTTCCGCTTTCGTAAGTCCTAAATAATTTTTAACCACTTGCGCCGGCAACTGGTTTGCGGACCATAACGAGTGACCGAACCGTATACAATAATTCGTCGCTTTCTTTCTCGTTTGAACCCGTCGCTGTGATATCGCTGGATAGAAATTATTACGAAGTAATAAACTTATCGTTTGTTTTGCCTGGGTTAGGTTACATTCAAATAGACTCTGAAAACTGAGAAATAGTTGCAATTTTCAGATTAAAAAAATTCTCCACGCGTGTGGCACGTCATTTCAGCGCAAGAGGAGTTAAAAATAGTCAGCGACTCTTAATACTTGATACTCGTCAAATAGAAGCTGCAGAGATCAGTCGGAGGGAAAAGCATTTACGGATAAATTGAGCAATCTGCAGCTCTGTCTCTTGCAAAGAGAAATTGCAGCTAACAGAGATCGTTCGGAGAAAAAGTCCGAGACGAGTCGGTTGCGGTTACAGAAAAGAGCCGGTGTTTCTTAAGATTGCTATACCCTTATAGCGGAGGCTGCTCATCTTCCGGATAAAGAAAGAAAGAAAGAAAAAAAATTACGCACGTGTCGTCGCCGCCGCTATAATTTTCAATTGAGTGCAGTCTTGTCCGTTCAACGTAAACGTTAGAGATGTTATTCGAAATATTTCTTTCGCGTTCGTCGGTTGATACTTTCGCACAAACAGCTGAACAAATTTATGGCCAACTGATATCCGACGCTAGGATCAGGAAAAGCTAGCGACCTCTCGCATCGCTGAGCGCGTTTCCTAAAACGCGTGAAACACTTGGAATCCTTCCGAGTTGCGCTGGCATCCGGCCAGTTTGTCTTTGTCCCGATGACCCGAACAAAAGCGGTACGAATCACACGTTCAAAAGTGGAGGAAAGTGGAACGTCGGAGGAGGATTTCGTTGAGAAAAATCTGCGAAATTTTTCGTAGCGCCTCTACGTCGACAATTTACGTTACACAGTGCGAAATATCTCCTGCGTGCTTTTGGAAAAATAAAACTTTTGTGTTACTTTATAGTTTAAACTCTTTGCTCGCAGCTCTTAAGCTTTAAAACGAAACCGTGATTCTTTTTTTTTTTTTACAAAGTTACAACAGTTTAAATTGCCGAGAATTTTTCGCATTGACTCGGTTATGCTCTTCGCTTTATACTGTATACGAATTTTGCAATCTACGTCTTTGAAATTTTCTTCTAAATTAATTATAATTTAACACTCTTCTGTCCCTGTTGTAACTTCTTATCAAACTACGTTGCTTGTTCGTGTGATATACTTCTTTTTTACTCATTTCTACTATATTAACATTACTCTTCGATCACTCTTTCTTCCTCGAGAACATTGCAGCTTCGAATTTACACTAAATAGCGAAATACGTATATTTCATTATCATCAGAATTACCAAGTAGTTTGTTTTATGATTTTCCATGAAAATTTTATACATTTGTAACGGTGTAGTTTTCAGCGAAAGTTAGAAGTTTGATTTTTGGGTCCAAGGATCGTTGATCCGGATGTATTAAACACGGTGCCACGATACCTTTCACTCGAGCAATGTCACGAAAGATTCTCGATATCACTCGGCGAGTCAGTCGATGATTTTCACTCGTGGCACGGACGACTTTTGCTAGCGGAACGATTTCTTAGTTGTTCTCTGGCAGATATAAATACATGTAAACTGTCGAGTTGATGTTCCGTGACGAAAGTGGATCAGAATTCTTGCTCAGAATTGAAGAAATGTAAAATTGTTAGAGTGTATAAAAATGCACAGTGTTTTCTTCGCGAGTGTTTTTAATAATATTAAAAAAAATATAATATTTTCAATAATATCTGTGTGTATTGTGACTATTTAATTTTACTGTAGTTTTACGAATGTGGGAATGCGTTTGCGCAGGTGTGATATATACTGATATCTGAAAATACACGGTGCAATCGTGTTTGTAAGATGGTCACTTTGTTGCCAATTGCCATCTCGAGTTATTCAATTTATTCAGTACGAAGGAACTTCGAAATCGATTTCGACTAGCTCGCATCTAATTGATCAAGTCGGCAGCTCAAATTAAGTCCCATCCCCCTTTATCTCTCTTTAAAAGCATTAAAAACATCACTAAACATCCGTAACGTTAGAAATTACATTTTCCCCCAAGCAGACAAAAGAAATTCCACGTTACGCAACGTTGTTCATATTTATAGCCGTGCAGTTTATCCTATCGTTGATCTAAAATCGTCGATAAATTTCATATTTATCCATTGACCTAGATTCCAGATTTTATATTAAATGATTCTTCACTTTGACGTAGAACCGATGGAAGAAAAAAGAAAAAAAAAAGAGAAAAGCTTTTGCCACTGATGAAAAGGTCCTTTCGCGTTAAATGAAACGTAAAAGGCTGCAAGTTTCCCTTTATAGTTCATCTTTTATAGCTTCGGCGCGCTGGCATTAACAAGTTTAGCGACGCAGGGCTACGTGCCAGGCAGATTACCAGAATGCGTTCAACTTTCGAGGAAAGGCACGTTTAACCGAGAACGAGAACCCGTTGAACAGTTATGTCATGCATCAAAGTTGAAGTCACGTCACGTCACCGCGTTCCACCGCCGTCGTTCAATTAATCTTCTTGTAATTAATCTGACGCGGAGAATGTTTGCGCGTTGCGGGTTGTTCGGGACGAACTCGATCGTCGATCGCGATTTAATATCGAAATCGGCTCGCTACGGCGTTTTCAAAAAGCTCAGTTGTCAATGCAGAATGGTTATTAAAGTTATTCAAGTAGAACAACGGCACAAAAGTAATAAGTGTATTATAAACTGTATGAGGAGTATGTGCTTTTGAGAAGAGAAGGTTTTATAATTCAGTGAGTGAGTTCATTTGTGCTGAAAAAAAAAGATTAAAAGACTAGAGATATTATAATAATATTTATAATAATTATATATGTATTATTATTATATATATAATTATAAATATATTTATATTTTGTTATTATTATATATATAATTATAAATATATTTATAATAATTATATGTTTATATATAATATAATTATTTATAATAATTATATTTATATATTTTTATATATTTTATTTATTTATTATTTATATATTTTTATATATTTTATTTTATTTTATATATATTTTATTTATTTGTTATTTATATATTTTTATATATTTTATTTTATTTTATATATATTTTATTTATTTATTATTTATATATTTTTATATTTATGTAATATAATTATAATTATATTATATTTATATAATATAATTATATAATAAATATATTTATAATAATTATTATATTTATATAATATAATTATATAATAAATATATTTATAATAATTATTATATAATAATAGTGAAACCTAGTCGTTTTAACTTTACTGTGTACTTTTATATCTTTTAATTGCACACAAACACAAGCATCACAGTGTGAACTTTTGCACTGCAACTAGCAGTTTTTTATAGTTTCCAACTCGTCACGCGAATGAATGAAATTCCCATTCCAGGATTCGTGTTATGGAATTTCCATAAGCCTCGAGCACTTTCGTTCGTCCAAGGGACACCGTGTGATCATTTCTCTTTCTGTTTGCCTGTTGGCAGAATTTCTTCTCGAAGAGGTCGTTCCGCTCGAACCCGCTGAAGAGGACGAAGAGCGTGACGAAGCTCGAGCGGCAGAAGCAACGGGGCGCCGGGCTTCGCGGTTGCCGTTCACACGAGTCGCTGCTCTGCGGACAGGCGGTGACCTCGATGGACCTCGCGGCCGTGACACCGCTGCATCCGAGCCTGCTTGGCAGACCTCACTGCTTCCAGGTCACACCCAGCACCGGCGGCCCCAAGTATTTCAGTTGCAGGACCGCTCACGAACGGGACCAGTGGTTACACAGGTTGGTACCGTTTCTCCGTCGCCTCTTCTTTTTCTACTTCTTCTTCTTCTTCTTCTTCTTCTTCTTCTTCTTCTTCTTCTTCTTCTTCTTCTTCTTCTTCTTCTTCTTTGCAACTGTTGCTACTTCCTACCCAAGCCAGCTTTCAACTTGCCTCTTAAACGATCGTGGCTGTCAAATTTGTTGCAATTGAACGTTATTATTTGGTTCGATTATTCATTTTTACTTGGCCACGTATGTGTTTCTTGAAATTCCGCGATGCGAGCATAATTTTCTTTATTTGCCACATTGAATTAAATTAGATTCCTTTGTCACAACTGATATTAAAAATTCGTCCCCAAAGAGGTTTATTTATACTCGTTATTCTCGAACGTCATTTTCAACTTCAGACGTGCGATCTCAATTTTTGTCGCCCAGTTTCGTCCAGTTGGACTAATCATTGTACGTTGAATGTTGGACGCACAGCCTGAGGAAATCCGTGCAGCCTGACGCGGAGCAGACACGACGAACGGACAACTCCCTGCAGATCTGGCTGCTCGAGGCGAAGGGCGTGCCGGCGAAGAAACGATACTTCTGCGAGGTCTGTCTGGACAGCACTCTGTACGCGAGAACCACCGCGAAACTGAAGGCCGATCTCTGCTTCTGGGGCGAGCACTTTGATTTCCATCATTTGCCCTCTGTCAACACCATACAGGTGAACCTCTACAGGGAGGCTGACAGAAAGAAGAAGAGGGACAAGAACGTTTTAATCGGTGAGCTTGAAAGGCAAATTAGCGAAGAAATGTGAAAATCACAGAGAGAGAGAGAGAGAGAGAGAGAGAGAGAGATCCTCCCAAGCTTCTTTTACCTTGAGAATTCCATCTCTCTGTTCTGAATTCAATTTCAACGGAGCGAGAATGCGCGTCGATCGTTCGTGAAATCGCTTGAAATTTTCCTGCAGGTTCGGTGAGCATACCGGTGCACAACGTCACGTCTCGTTACCTAACGGAGAAATGGTATACCGTCGTCGGGGATAAAGGCCCTCTGAAGGAGCCTCCAGCGCTCAGGGTGAAATGTCGCTTCCAATCTGTGGACATACTGCCGGTTCAGGTGTACCAGGAGTTCCTGGAGTATTTGAAGACGGATTACGCGAGCTTGTGCGAGAAATTGGAGCCGGTGATCGGTGTCAAAGCGAAGGAGGACATCGCCACCGCTTTGGTCGCCGTCATGCAGCGTGAAAAGAAAGCGCCTCAATTTCTCGCCGACTTGGTGATGATGGATATACACAGAATAGGTGAGTCACGCTGATCTTCTGTACATGTAGAGGAGGAGTAACTCGTCGAATCGAAAGATACGATGATGCAGTAATTTTTATATGTAAATATTAATGTATTATTATTAAAAAGAAAAAATATGTATTAAATCTCAAGAAATTGTCTTCCCTTGAAAAATTCTCGTCTCTTACAACAATAACAACAAAACAGAAAACCGTAGAAATTTGTTTTGTTGAAACAAGAGATAAAGGGTGCTTAGAACTTTCCCCCTTTTTTTTAAGATATCCTTTCTTTATACACTTTAGAGGGTTAACCATTTGCGTTGAGCAACTGATTGCGGACCACAACGAGTGACCAAACCGTATACAATAATTCGTCGCTTTCTTTTTGTACTCGTCGGTATGATATCGCTGGATAGAAATTTATTAAGTAGTAATAAATTTATTATTTGTTTTGCCGGAGTCATACTTAAATATACCGAAAACTGAGAAAATATTGCAATTTTGGAACAAAAAATTCTCGACGTGCGTGGCAGGTCGTTCCAACGCAAGTGGTCAAAGGGGCCAAAGTTCCCTCCCATTTATTAACGGGGAAATGTCGAATTTCAGACGACGAGAGGCTGACGTTTCGAGGAAATTCCCTGGCGACGAAGGCGATGGAGGCTTACCTGAAGTTGACGGGTGATAGGTACCTACAGGAGACGTTGGGGGCCGTTGTAAGGGGGGCGGTGGAGGGTGGCGACTGCGAGGTGGACCCGCTGAAGGTCGCCTCGGTGGCGGCCCTTCACAAGCAGCAACAGAATCTGCGGAACGCTGTGGAGCTCGCCTGGAGCAGGATACTGGCCAGCCACGCTCACTTTCCTCTCGAATTGCGCGAGTGCTTCCGTATATTCCGCGAACGTCTGGCCGACATGGGCCGCGAGGACATCGCCGACAATCTCATCTCCGCGTCCATATTCCTCAGATTCCTCTGCCCGGCTATTCTCAGCCCGTCGCTCTTCAACATTACTCACGGTAAGTCGAAAGACGTCTCAGACGTCGCGATCTGCAAACTCGGTACGTGTATATTGCGCGATTCACTCCGTGGCGATAATACTCGCACAACGAAAACGGTTACACAGCAGAGTGATAAGCAGCGTGTTACTTTTGGGTCGATTTGACGAGAGGGATCGTTTTGTGTTTAGTTTAGAGTATCGATTGATCGGTTAACTGCGGAATTTATTTTTAAGAATCCGTCGCGTAAAGTCATGCACTGACGTCGAGCGCAGTGCAAATGCTCTTCATTGTAAATTTAACAATTTAACTGGTCCAGTGGTTAACTGCGTTCGACGTGTATTTACATCGATCCGAAACTTTATTTAAGCGTCACTCTAAATTTTAAAAATTCCGAATTTCAATGAGAAGTAACGAAAGAAAGTTTGGTTATTCTTTTTAGTACAAAACAATTCGGGGGATAATCAACTCAGTTTGCGAAAGGCAATGCATTGTACGGGAAATATCCAAAAGATATAATCAAAGGAAATAATCAAACTTTTTTTTTTATAAAATACACAGCAGTTTCATTGGTAATATAAATGAAACACACCGCTAAATGACATTTTTATTGCTTCTCATTGAAATTTGGAGTTCTTATAGCAAATGGTAATTTTTTTATTTTACACGACGAGTAGTATACACGTTGAATGCAGTTAACTGGTTGTGAAAGTCGTCAGCGAAACAGTCGTTAGGCCTGAAAATCTCGAAACACACGTGTCGAGTCTCTTTTTCTAGAATACCCGAACGAAAAGGCGGCGAGAAACCTCACCCTCGTGGCGAAAACGCTTCAGACTTTGGCGAACTTCACGAGATTCCAGGGAAAGGAGAATTTCATGGAGTTTATGAACGATCTTCTGGAACGTGAAGCTCAATCCATGAAGAACTTTCTACAGTTAATCAGCGTACGTAAAATAGTTTTTTTTTTTTTTTTTTGTTTTCTTGAGAAATTATAAAATCGACAACTCGTCGGCATCGAAATTGCATTTTTACAGAGCCCCCTGCCAAAGGACGCGCCAGCCAACAACTCGTTGGAGTTCGACGGGTATATCGATCTCGGCAAGCAACTGTCTCTCCTGCACGCGCTGTTGCGCGAAAGTTTTGTCACGATATCTTCGTTTTCCTCGTCACTGCCCCCGTCGAGACTACCAGACATCCTCGAGAGGATCTCCATAGCTTTGGATCAATCGGGCCCGAGCCCAGTGCCCGCTTCTCATCGCTATCCAAACTTGCAGAACAACATATTCCGCTACAACGATCCAACGATCGCGAACAGCAACACCAACCTGTCCGTGTCGGCGACGTCGACGTTGAGCAATCACAGCACGCTGAACGGGACAATCAGAGATAGCAACGAAGTGTTGCAATCGAACACGCTGAGCCACAACAGTTCCCGTAGCCCGAACGTGACCAGGGCCGCGACGCTTCCTCGTAACGCGTACATGCCGAACAACGGGAAGCTACAGCTGCAAATCACCACGGACGATTATCCCTTGGAGCCGCCAGCCTTCGTGTCGCGTTCGCCGACGCCCATGAGGCAACACAGACAATTAGGGTCGAACAGGACGGGCGCAGGGTACAGATTGACAGCCAGCGCGAGCCTGGCGAACGTGAATCACTGCCAGACGCACCCAACGAGTCCCACGAGGTCGGAGAGTCACAGCAATCTGAAAGACTCCAATTACAACATCACCACGTCGCAGATCAACCAAACGAACAACTGCACCATCATATCTCAGCAGCAGCAACAGCAGCAAAACCACAGACACAACATGACGCGATTGCAGAACCTGGACATCCACGACAGGGAGGACAATTACAACCACAACAACTACAACGTCTCGAGATCGACCAGCAGGAACCACTGTAACAAGGAAGATAACGCGAACCAAATGCAACATCAGAACTATAACAACGTCTCGAAGACAACGGTGAACGCGAACGTCGTGGTGAACCCACCGTCGAATCTCACCCTGTCGATTAACCATCAGCCGAACAACAATTACAACAATAGCAAGAACAACACGACTGCCAATGGTAACTTGGACGAGCTGTCCGATCTGTTGAGGTACGCCGACGACGAGGTGTCGGAATCGAAATCACAGAAAGGTTCCCAAATATCAATCTCCCAATTGAGCAATGTTGCCTCGTCCGGTTACCAAAGCTTCGCTGCTTACAGTCAAAGCTCCAGCCCCGTGGATCTCAGCAGCAACAATGCAAACGCGCATATACTCAGCGCGGCACCGTTGGCGTTCGCCAATCCCGTTTACCACATGGAATCGAACCACGGGAGGAACGGGAGGAGAGGCAGCAGTAGCTCCGAGGAGAGGGACGGGAGCGGGGGCGGGGTGGAGGGCGTGAGAGGCGTTGATCTCAGTCCCTCGCCCCCGCCGCAGAATAACGTGAGGAACCTGCAAAGAAATAACCAGAACCAGTGGAGGCAGACCAACCAGACGCACAGGAATAACTCGGAGCAGAATCAGAGTGTCTGTTGCACCAAGTTGAGGAGGAGGCTGTCGTTGGATTCTACGCGAGACCTGTCCGACACCAGTGAAGAAGAGAGCTGCACGACGAGGAGAAGCAAGTCCCGCAGTCATCGAAGCATCGATCAGGTAATGAATTATCGTGTTACGATGTGAATTGTAATTGAGTACGTTGGTTTCCACGATGACGAATAAAATTATGGACAATATAATTTTATTATACAATACGAATTTGCGACACGAGCGGATTTATCCGTCATCCACGAAACCAACACCGGTGGAGATGAAATATTTTCAACTTTGCAGCAGCGATCGAGGCAATGGGACCATAATTCAACTTCCTATATATATGTATATCAAAGAGGAACTTACAATTCTGTTTTAATCCGTCGTAACTCGTACCCGTGTGTGTATAATTACTCGTGACTAGTAACGTGACCTCGTTGTGAATAACAAGTTCCTCTTTTACCGCGCGACTAGTCGCCGTCGCCTTCTTTTTTTTTTTTTTTTTTTTTTTTTTTATTTATTTTATCTCTGTCTCTGTTTTCTCTCCGGCCTCTCTGTCTAACGGAACGCCTCTGTCTGTCCGTGCGTGTCTTGTAACTAACAACGCCACGTCTCTTCGTTTCCAGTACGAAGTGGAAATCGAAAGGCTGCAGAGTAGCGTAGATCGACTGAGGGCCCGGTTAGGCGCAACCGAGGATACCGATATAGACGGCGTTGCACCGGATACCAAGATGAAGAGCATCATCTCCAGGTACTTGATCCTCATTAACGCGGCCGCTAACCCACCGATTGATTCTTTTGCCTGAGTGTGATCACCTCCCCCTCATCACCATGACGACTACCACTTTTCTTCTCTTGCGTTTCACTCGGAAACCCTTCCGTCTCATCATCTCAGTCACGTCGGTTCTCTCTTCTCTTCCATCTCCTCTCTCTCTCTCTCTCTCTCTTTTTTTCTCTCCTCACTTCTTCATCGCGACCGTCTTTTCTCCGCGCGAGAAGACCGAATGGTTATCCGTGGAGAGATACTGTCGATCGTTCGTTCGATGGTTTCTTCGTCGTCTCGAGTCTCTTTTTTCGGAGACGCGTGACTCTCTCAGCAAGAGATTCGTGAAACGCGATCTCTCCACGTGGCAGGCAGAGTTGAGTCGAAAGTTAATTTGGAAAAAGAGCAGCCGAGTCGCATATGTAATTTAATTTGTTCAAAAGCAGTCGTTTGCCAATTTTTAATTTTTTACCGATCGGACGTTGCCGCTAATTATCTCATTGTGAGCGTTTCTGTAGAATTTTTCTTGTAGATGTATACGACTGTTGATACGTACATACGTTTTATTCTCCAAAAATATTTCACGTTATTTGAATCTCTGTGTTGTTCTTCGTTTAATTTGTTTGTTGTTTTATTTATCGTTCGTTTGTGGTCGTTTTCCTTAACAAGATGTTTAATGCGAAATACAAAGTACTCGATTCTCACGATCTTGTCTACCTTTTTTGCCGCCAAGTTAAATTCAGCTCCGTCTGCCAAGAATATTAAACCGGTCGAAAGAGAAAGATCAAATTATATACTATGCGTAAAGAACAAAACCGAGCCAGGAAGAAAAAAAAAAAAAAGAAAAAAGACATGTCCTTGCATTGTCGAGGTAGTAAAGACGAACGAGAAAAGAATAAAGAGCGTAGTAAAAGAAACTACCACTCGAACACGGTTACTTAATCTCGAAATAATGTATGTTTAATTGATTGTGTGTTCCTGTGCATTCTATCCGCTGCATTTGGTATACTCTGGCTTGATCTGGACCTTGGTGTAAGAGTCAATTATATTTCTAAGCTTCTTACATTTTTACATCACATGTTTTTTAGCGTTTTTTAAATTCATATATATGTATATACATATATATTTATATATATTTATGTATCTCGTGTCCTCCACACCTTGGTTTTATTAGACACGCGCTGAACTATTTTCTCTCTCTCTCTCTCTCTCTCTCTCTTTCTGTACGCATTTTCAAAAGAGCAATTCGATACCAACGAGGTTCGAAAGTTTGTGACCACCTGATTTATATACATACTTATACTATATTGTATTTATACTTGTACTCATTGTCAGAAAATATCACTGTTCGATTAACCAGCTTTCTTCACCCTGCGTGTTTTATACTTACATCACTGTCCAAAAAAAAAAAAAAAGAAAGAAGAAAGAAAAAACATTATTTCAGTCAGCCACATAATACTTCACCAAGTCTCTCGATATCCGACACCGACAGCTTTCACACACGCCTCTCTGATCATGCGTTCGTTTCTGTTCCACGTGTGCACGGTTCACGTTCTGCAAACCACTCTGACTTTTGCGCGTAGCTTTTGTTGCTACGTTGCGCGGGAAATGTTCACGATAGTTCTCTGAACTAGTGTCCTCTTAAAATTTATCGCGAGTCTTTTCTGCTAGATTCACGTTTTTTTTTTTTTTTTATTAAATATTTCGACAGATGGAAGTGAATCTGCGTTTAGTTGAAACATTCGTTTTATTCAGTTATTTAATTTAGAGTGCTTTCAGGTCACTCAGGTGTACGATGAAGACAATTTTTCATCATCATTAGCACAATTACGCTCTTCGCTGTATCCTTTTCATGCAGTTCAGTAACTATTAACAATGTCTAACAAAGATTATTCGATAATCAATTAACGCTACGCTAATTAGTCAATAATTGATTTTAATTATGTTTAATATTGAAAATTTAACGTGATAGTGATTGTCCTGAACATTTTCTCCCCACATTCTTGTACCTACTCACACACAAACTCGACAACGATGGCCACAATTCGCAGAAGCAGGCAGGCCCCTCGCTTCTTTGACCGAATAAAAGCTCTCATAGCCCACTGCATTGATTGATCGTTCTTTTTTTGGTTGTTCGAGCGTATGATATTTTGCACCAGACACACACACTGCTGCTTCCTTTGACTTTCGTTTCCGGAGTATTCATTGGTGTTCTTTTCTTGGACATGTGCATTGTGGTACGCTTGGATCCTCTTAAGCCACCCTGCGAAGTCTCTCTTTCTTTCTTACGTCTCACACGGCGATAGCACAAAAAGAAAAACAAAAAAGACAAAAGAAAATTGTAATCGAAAATTCGATAGACGGAAAGCATCGAGAGAGTTCTCAGGGGAAACTCAGTTCCATGTGTGCTCAGAACCATCGCGAAGCAATCTTTTAGAAAAAAAAGAAAAAAAAAAAAGAAAACGCTATTTCAAAAAACGAAAGCTTCAAATTAAAAGAAGAAGAAAATGTCTAATATCCGAAATATCTGCCAAGAAGGGAGAAAAAGAGATTGCTCCGCGGTGAAAGTCCGCGACGTGGATCGCGAAGATTCCAAGTATAAACCACGAGACACAGGTAGGAACGAGCTAAACGGACGATCGTTTGATTATTCTAGGTTAATCTCCGTGGAGGAGGAGCTACGGCGCGAACAGCAGAAGATGTCGGCTGCGTTGTCGTACAAGCAGCGCGTGATCGACGCGCAGGAGCAGCAAATAGCCGCTTTGGACGCCGCGAATTCGCGTCTAATGACGTCAAACACAAAACTGTTGTCCGCATTGAGCACCCTGAAGCAACGATACAAGTCCAGCCAGTCGAGCAGCGAGGCGGCTGCGCTACTGCAGAACATCGCTGATATCGGCGAGCTGAAAAGCTCGTCTTGTTAGAACGGACAGAGGGGGAGAGAGAGGGAGAGAGAGAGAGAGACAGAGAGGAGAAAATCATGCAAGCAACGCTCATCTGGAGGCGTCCGTTGGTTTCCGCGTAAGGCGAGCATCTCGGACGAACATCCGGTGAACATCAGCGTAGAACTCGAAGGATCGCGAGACGAAGCACGAGGTGTGTGGTGTCCCTCTGAACCTGAGGACAAACCTGAGGATGAATCCGACAATCTCGAGGATGGCTCGATCGACGAGACGATCTCTCATTGCCTGAACGTGAAAGAGGAGACACCGAGAAGAAGACTATCCCGGTTTGCTCTTTGGCTCGTCCGAGTCGAGTCGAGTCGAGTCGAGTGTCGTCTCCTCGCTTAGGAACGCAAAGAGAAGGAGAGGAGCAACGCGAGCAAAAAGAGAACAAAGAGAGAAAGATCGCGTGCGTGAACGTGTGAAAGGCGTGCGAAAATAGAGGCTACCTAGTGGATAAAATAGGCAAAACGGTTTTAAGTAGATAATTTACGTCGAGTTTCGTGTGACACGTCGTTGTAGCGTTTAGGATTGTTTGTCGGCCGTGTCTGGGCGGGAGACACGAATCTCGCGAGACACGAGGCTGACGAAAGTCGACGGACCTCAGACTGCTTCAGCTCGTTCCCTTATACGATGACTTTCCTTCGTTCGAGTCGAACGAGTCGGAAAGTCAATGGCGTTTACGCAGGAAACTGAAGCGTCTTTCGTTCGACGGAACAGCAAAACACGGTCCATCGATTCGTTCGGCAATGCATCTAAACGAGAGATAAATAGGACGAGACACGAGGCCCCTGCTAGACGCCGAACCATGTTGTATCTCTTCTTTCGTTTCACTCTCTGCTATATTTTCTTTTCTTTTTTTTTTTTTTTTTTTTTTTTTTTTTTTTTTTTNTTTTTTGTTATTCGTTTTGCATTCGTGTCACAACATGCATGCACAAACGCTGTCATAACGCGCGAGGAAGACTTCGACATCGATGCGAAATCGTCCCATCGATGTTTCGTTGAGAAATTTGCGCGAATGTATTTTGCGTCTTAGTCGTCGTAGTGGGAAACGTTATCCGGCCTGGTTACGAGTTCTCGACACGAGTTGTTTGATTTTTAAAGTACAGCCGAGTGTTTCAAGTTTCAAGTGCCAAGAAGTAGTAAAAATTCAATGAAATTGACGGTTCGTTGGCGAGAATATATCTTTGAATGCATCGTTTTACGCTGACACGACCGATTAGTACGTTTTCGTTAAATTTTGAAGAGACTAGGAAATATTAGATACTAGGCGATATATATATATATATATGTGCGTGTGTGTGTATATACATTTCAAAGTTCTTCCTTTTATAAGAAAACGTGCTCGAATCGACGATTTCTCTAAATATCGTCGAGGAGGTCTGAACTCTCACGAGACACGGTGACATAATTTAATGCTCAACTGACAAGAACAACTTTGCTAATAAACCGACTTCTCTTAAGGTGTGTGTTCACAACGTTTTTAGACATTTCCACTGTATTCAGAATTTCATTGACGCCACGTAAATTAATACACGGAACATCTCGACTGATTACTTACTCTGATAACTCTACATAACAAATTGAACTTATGCACGAAAGTACTTCTCGAAAAGTTTTATACCGCGATATACATATATATGCATTTAAATGACTCGCTGTATACATACATAGAGCTACGTAACAATTTCTAAACAGTTAACACTTTAGACAGCGATCTGTTGATTTATAGCGACTTGACCAATCCGTAGTGTTTTTACACATTGTAAAACCGTCTTTCTACATTTTTTAAACTTTTATTTGATATCGTTGTATCTTACCAGCATGTTGCCACGCTGCTACCACTAATTATATTAATCTAAAGTGGCTGTACTTTGAAAATAAATAATTCGAGGACTCGCGTATCCGCTGGGATTCGTTTCCAGAAATTCTCAAGGCGAGAATACGATTCAACAAATCGAACAACGATTAAAAGTAAAAACTTTGCGCGTTGTATGTATAACACTATTAACGGCGTTTGACACACCAACGTGCAACATCCTCAAGCACACCGAATCATTCTTCAGGACCTTGTAAATGTGTGTATATTTTTCTAATTTAATTGCACCGCGCGTTTTTTTTTTTTTTTT